AGTATGTAAAAGACAATTTAATGCCATTCAGCACGATGGTTTTTAATATAACATAAGGCAATCTTATTTTCAAATTGACTTTAACTCTAGGTTTGCTAAATTAACCCTCGAGCTTCAGAAGAATAATCTGCAGCAGAAATCTGCACGTGGACAGGCTGCTTTATGTGCTGTGCAGCCCCTGGGGTGGGGCAGAGCAGCAGCAGCTGGCGGTACCCCAGCACCTCTCTTTCCAACCAATTAGAAACACAAGCCACAGAACTTTGCAGATGTGGAGCTGTCAGTGATCACATCTCAAAAATCACTGCACTGCTTTCAGCTCCAAGCACCCAGCTGAGCTCCTGGCTGAGTGGAACCCTCCCTCCGGAGGGTGGGTGGACGTGGTGTGGGCTGCTGTGTGCACAGGGACACCTGCAGTATGTAAGAGAGAGACGGGAGGAGAAGGTACAAACCTACAGACACTACAGCAATACTAACTGCAAGTCAATGAGCAGGAATTCCATTTACGTGGATGCTCCCTCTAATTGTTCCTTATGGTTTCCCATAAAGCAATTGTTTCTCTCTCCAGCAGACAAATCAGACGGCCCATCAATCCAATTTTATAAGTCAGTTCGTCTGTCCTTATCTGCCAAGGAGATTTTTTTTATGTGGGCTGTGACAGGAACAAAAGAAGCCTCTTTGAGTGGCAGATACCTGTGTGGTCAGACCAGGCACTTGGTTCCTGCAGGACTCAGCCAGTTGAGTTTTCAATTTTCCACTTCTCCCCATCACTCCAATAGATGACAGCCACCCTTCACAGCTCGCTGTGGGCAGTGGAGCACTGCAGGCTCCTGGCTGAGCAGGCAACATGAGCAACGCCTAGCTTAGGGGCACAGATCTGCATTACATGGGCTAAAGTGTTATCTTAACCCCGACTGCTGGCAGCAAAGGTGAAATCGCTGCCAGGCAGTGGGGTGGTGGGACACAAAGCACAGCTGCTTGGTCTGTAGGGAGACCTCACAGCCCCACAGAGTCTCTCCATGCTGCCCACAGACTCCCATGCACTGCAGTGGTCGGGAGCTACTCCTGCCTGCCCCATCCATCATCTCAGGGCAATGGAACAGAACGGGCACTGGCACAGCTGCGGGGCTGGCAGGGAACAGTGAAGGCCTCGGGAGCACTGGGAAATGGGCCTCAGGGCAGCACAGGGACATGCACGGATCTGGGGTTACTGCCGAGCGCTGGTGGGGCTCTGAAATTCTGAATCAAACCCAGAGCTGGCTGCGGTGTTATGCTTGGCATAAAACCCAGCCCTCATCCCTTCAGTACTCCTGCCTGGGCCTCACCCAAAGCTGGGCAGATCAGAGGCATTGCTCTCCCATCCGCAGTGCAGGAGGCAATAGCTGGAGGGAGATGGGCATTAGTTTTGGTCGGTGAGAGGGCAGAGCTGTGTCCTGCAGGAGCAGAGAGCCGCTCCCTGCTGCACCCACCTGAGTTCTGCTCACCCTTTCCCAGCTATTCCTTCTGGGTGTGCTCTTTGCACCCGAACTGCCCTGTGAGGCATGGGGGTTCTCCTCCCTCTCCTTTCTCAGCCTGAGGATGGACAAGGCTGCTGGTTTCACAGAAGTGCAAGCAGACAGACAGCCCTGCTACTGACCCAGCTGTGTTCCCACCTGCCAGGGCTCGATCTGCACCTCAGAACACTCCCACCTACCCCTTCAAACAGACCCAGGGTGCTGTTTTCTACCTGGAGAGCTAACTGCTAATAGTTCTGCTCTGCTTCTCCTTCCTGAGCTAATCTTATGACTCACTGTGCATTTCTTTCTGCCTTGTTTTACTAATCTGCTTGGCATTTGGTGGTTTCTTTGTTCATTATGCAGCAGGGCCGTGTAAGGGATTTGTCTCTGGAATTCAGGTATCCTCCATGCTGTGCTGTTATCGCCTCCATCAGCAGCTCTGCTGTAGGCAGTTGGATGCATCTGGCATGAGCTAACGCAAGAAAACAGGGCTGTGAATCACTCAGACGTCGCTGCTGGATCTCTGCACGCTGTCTGTGCTCAGGCAGTTTCTGTGCAGCAGATTTCTATAAGGTGGTTCCCACCCACACACAGCTCTAAAGGCAAAGCAATGACTGCAGCACATCAGCATCCATTTACCTGCTGGGCTGGCTCTGACCTTGACCGGTTTTAGCCACTGCAGGAGTTATTGTTGCCTGTTGCAGGCCTCAGCCAGGAGAGCCCTCCTAATTTTGCTGCCTGCCAATTGTTGCCAGAAGCCCTATGCCTGCAGCACAGCAGATGTGCCCTTCAGCCAAATAGTTCAGCTCAGCCTCCTTCTTCATATCATAGAATCATAGAATGGCATGGGTTGAAAAGGTCCACAATGATCATCTAGTTTCAACCCCCCCTGCTATGTGCAGGATCACCAACCACCAGACCAGGCTGCCATGCATCCCATCCTCTTCTTGCAAGCTGCTGAGTGAGTGCTGTCATGTTGGGGCACCCTCAGGTGATACTGGGCCTCTGGGCAATGAGCTGTGAGGCTCTGAATTTCAATCAGGCATTGATAGTCACCAGCCCAGATAGCAAAGTCCTTACAGAGCTGCAGTACAGTCAGCTCCTACATTGTGCCCATTTAGGGGAGAAAAGCTCAGCAATACAGACGTGTTACAATTTACAGATCTGGGGAAAAAGGCTCAGTTACTCCTCACAGCAAGAGACAGCCGTGTGCGTGGCAGGGGACTGGCAGGAGACCAAGGCATGAGCTGAGACCTGCTGCTTGGACTGAGATCTTCAATTCCTCCAGAGAAAGATCACGAAGCCATTTAAAGAAAGGAAAGACAAAAAAGAACACTAATAAATCTCAGAGATGGACTCAGGACAAGCTTCAGATCCTTCTAATGCCTGCATGGCTGACAGCAGCACCAGCACCAGGCAGGGCTCTGAGGCTGCTGGGCTCTGTGCGAGGGACTGCAGTCTCAACGCCAAATACCCAATCCTGAAATCCTCTGCCCATCCGCCCTGCAGAACAGCCTCGGGGTGGTATCCAGTCCCAGGGTCAGCTCATACTCCAGGATTAGTCTGCAGCACGGCAGATTTCATTTCAGAATTACAGCGAGAGCCATAGCTTAATATTTCTCATGAAATGTATCAGAGTTTCTATTGTTGCCATGGTTATTTCATCAAAGCCTGAGCTATAACTTGAACATTGAAAGAAAACATGAAAAGACAGAGCTCATCTTCTCACCATGGAGTCTGTGCACACAGTGCTTCACGCAGCACACAATGGAAGGACACACCGAGTCACACTGAGATCAAGTTGGACATTTAGGTTTGATTTAAGGGGCCTCTTGATGCAGCACATTTTTGTAGGATTTCTTTGACCTTCCAGACTGCGTGAAGCAATGCGTAACAAACATCAGCCCATCAGCAGCAGCAGCCTGTGGGTGTATGTCTAAAACTCCTGCCTTGAGGAACATGGGGTTGGAACAGCCTTATGCTCTGTGATGACTGAGTCCCTCCTACCACACAGCCATACACGCTGACCCAGCACCATCTCCAGGTAGGACCCAGCACCAAGCTGGCTCTGTCAGTGCCTCTGACGGCTGCACAAGAAGCCGTGCCGTGCATGAGCCCGTGCCAGAGTGCCATTCCAGCTCCTGTGCTGCTACAGAATGCTTTCAGGGACAGGATGTAGCTTTCCATTTTCTATCATTTCTTTGGGAAATGTTTGCTTTTTGGGTATTTAAAAACTTTGGCCAAGACAATATAAATAGCCCATAAGGGATGTGCTCCTCCAGGCTGAAATTCCAGGTGAACGCTAAACTGCAATCTGTAGGTGATGCCAAGGAGCGTGAGAATCAGCTGAATAGTTATGAGCAGCAAACAACTCTGTGGGTCACTAACAAGCCCCTGCCTGCTCATTACCCAATGAAGGCTGTTCTCAAGGTCCACTTAGCACTGCTGGTACAGCACTAGGCAGTGGGTACCTTTTATTTCGCTTATCACCTGGTCTGAATCCCGTTACCTATTGACAAATAGTGAGTTAAACTTTGCTTTCTTAAGGGGTCTTTGAGGAACATACTGGAGAAGCTTAGCAGCAGCCTTCTATAGATGGAGCAACTCCTCACCAAAGCACGACCTGGAAAGGTGCAGGCAGGAATGGCCCCTGCAGCCACCATGCAGCTTCTGAGCAGCAGTGTGATGGGAAGGGCCACCACTTCCAGGCAGGAGCACTGCTTCTCAACGCCCATCTGTTCCACACTGCAAGCAAAATCACACAGCAAATCTGGTTTCTGTCTGTCCTTATATCCTTTGTCTCTCTGTATTTTTTTTCCCCTCTCTTTCCTATATTGTCTTCTTTTCTCCATTTGCCTCCCAAGTACAGCTTAATCAAGCTATTTTTCTCAAAACTGTAGAAAACCTCCCCTTTAACCATGATTCAATTCAGTTGCTTCACTAAATCTCTTCCACAACAATTAGTAATTATTTAGAATTATTTAATTCTCCAGTTGGTGAATGCTACAGCCCTGATGAATTATTCTGTGGCCTTTAATTCAGCGCCTGTGTAGGTTTATTTGCAATGTAATTATAACAGAAATGAAAATAAATTCTCAGTGAACCAAATGACATGAGGTCTGACATGGAGATGGAGCTCCAGCCCCAGAGCAGTACAGAGCTCTGCTCCACCAGCACACAGCCTGGGCTGGGACCAGGGCAGGAGGAGCAGCAGGACTCAGTGTGACACCCACTGCTGACTTCCCTTACCCTGCTGTAATGCTATAATGCAATAATAGCAGGGTAGCAAAGACTTTGGCTGCAGCAAGCTAGGATAAGCAAAACGCAGCAGCCCTGGATGCAGAATCCATGGAAAAAAGCTGCTTACCTTTGGAAGGCCTCAAGTGCACAGGGATCTCCAGAGATACCCTCACCTCCACTGCCAGCCTTTAAATGAGGTCTGCACAGGAGTGGATCCTGGCTCCATCCCTTCCATCACTCAATACATCACTTGCACCTGAGCTCCCCTGGGTTGGCCCTGCCTTCCCATCACTTCTCCAACCCCGAGTTAGCATTTCTGCTACACCCGCACTCTGATGGGAGGCTTTACTATGAATTATCTGGGGGAATCCCTACAGATGAGGTTCACCTGGCTACAAAAGTCCTTCCTTCAGATGCATGCCAAACTCCATCCATTGCCACCCTTGTTCACAGGCCACTGCTGGCTGTTGGGATGAGCACAGTGGAGCAAACGCTGTTTGATGAGGGCCCCTTCATGCATCCAGCTCTCTGCCCCCAGGCCTCGCGGCAGGACACGGCCATGGGCAGCTGCGCAGTGCTTTGTGGCTGAGCCGTGTGCTGGCACATGCACAGCAGGGCTCTGAGCTCCGCACGGAAGCTCTCATTCAGCCAGCAGTAAATGAAGGGATTGTAGCATGTGCTGCTCATAGCAAACCAGTGCAGGGCAAAGTAGAGCGAGTTGTTGGTCTTGATGCCCAGGCTGGAGATGAGCACTACGTAGCAGTTGAGCGGAAACCAGCAGACAGCAAAGACCACCACAACCAGCACCAGCATCTTGATGCTCTTCTTCTTGTTCCTGTGGTGGGCGATGTACTGCTGCATGGTGATGTCACCGATGGCGTTGCGCAGCCACAGCTTCTTGGCCAGGCGCGTGTAGGTGGCGGTGATGACGAGCAGCGGCAGCAGGTAGAGCAGCAGGAAGGTGGACAGGTCCAGGTACTTCCAGACCAGCTCTGCAGGCTCAGGGAAATCCGGGAGGCACAGACTCCGCACGGTGGCTTCCCTTGAAAACAAAGAGGCATGTGTAGCACACGGCCGTGCAGATGGGTGCTGCTGATTTGGCAAAACGTGCTGAGGTTTTTGCAGCCCCGTAGACACAGCCTCAGATGTAGTGCCAACATGGAAGGGGCAGATATTGTTCATCTCAACTGATAAAGGTCAATCAGAGATGTTTCCCTGAAAACCCTTTCCTCGTGTCCATCATCCTGAGGCTTACTGCATGCTGTTGCTGCCTTCTGCCCTAAGTTATTCTGTTATCCCAAAAAAAGAGAACCTGAGAAAGGCAGCGCAGAGTTCCCTCTTGGAAGCTGCAGCAGATTTTAATTCAGTGAGACCCTCACATCCTCTTAGCATGGTGAAAAGTTGCTCTTGAGGGCCCTTTTTTTTAAAAAAAAAAAAAACTTAAACTCAGTGGTTTAACTTCTGGTGACTAGATAAGACAAAACAAGGACGTTCATATCTGACAGATTAATGAAACACAACTCATCCCTTCAATTCAGGGCAACAGATACATGCTCTGTTGGCACTCCTTGCTGCACCTCCACACCACGGAGAACTGGGTGTTCCTGCAGACACTGAAAACAAAAATGCATTAAGAGAAAGGGACACTCACAGATCTATTTCCTGGTGATGTTTTCTCCTCTTCTTTCCTTGTGTTCCTGCCTCTTTCCTCTTGTCCCACTTTGCCCTTTTCAAACCTCGTCCTCTGTCCACTTGTTAGCCTCCATCAAGCTGCACTATTTGCTGCAGTATTGATTAATACCGGTAATATCCTGTTCTCAGCTCTCAGTGTTGGCTCTTGTGCCACAAACAGAAAATTAACTGGAAATGGACAGCAGTGAAGGCGCGTGCAGCAAGAGAGGACAGAGGGCAAGGCAAGGCACAGCAAACCTGAGAACACGCGGATGTGGAGGACATGAGGACGTGGAGGACCCAAGGCCACTCAGCCACACATGGGCAGCACAGAGAGGCCACATGCCCACCGTGGCTCTGGGCACCGCTCTGAGCACGGCTGCAGCCTGGCTCCTGGCTAACGTCCCAGGGAAGCAGCTCCTGCTGCTGTCAGCTCCCAGCCATGGGATCTATTGCTGGTGACATTACCACCAGCATTTTTACTGAATGGAAAACAGTGATGAAAATAACGTGTCCTGGAAGTCCTTATATTGCCAACTGCCCCATGCCAGCTCGAGGTTGGGTTTCCTCTAGGCACATGAAGGACGAGCACTGACAGGTGCAGTGAAAGAGATAGTGGCATTTGTTCATTCATAAGCAATTTGTTGGGTAATAGCCTGAGCGCAGCTGCAGAGCAGCGCGGGCACTGGAGTAACCCAGCACTCTGTTTACAAAGTCTGAGAGCTGAAGATCTCATATCCCCCTGCAGGACACCTCTTGGGCACATAAATCACAGCACAAGCAAAGAGGAGCTGTGGAAGCCCACGCTGCACTCCCGTTTGTGTAACCCATCCACAACCACTATAAAAAGCCACGCAAGGAGGTGAATGGGCCCCTACAGTGCTGATAGGAATGGCTGCGCTGCAGGAAGACATTCCAAGCCATGAGTGCCCTCACCAGACAGCACGCAGAGGGGAAGATAAGAGTTTGGTTTTTGTTTCAGAGCAGAACCTTTACTTTCTTCCAGTACTTCAGAAGACTTCAGGTGGGTGTGAAATTCCATTTCCCCTCCTCTCAATAAGTTTTTGTTGTGTTCAGCCCAGCAAGGAGCTCCCCATGCTGCCAGGCAAATGCAGCAGCACAACCTGCTGCAGCACTGCTCGCTCATCAGCCCTTCACTGCGAGAGAAGTAGTGTTTCTCTACTGCTTCTCCAGCTAACGTAACACCGTGCAGAGCAGCCTCCTGCTTTGAGGAAGGTTGCCCTGCTGCACAAATCCAGAGAGATAAACACTTGGGAGCCACAATACATGAATCAGCACATGAAGCTGGGGCTCAGGCCTGGCTGATTCAGAGGCAGTCCCACCCCTCCCTGCCTTCCCTGCACTCTACAAGTACAGATGTACTGCAGATGTTTACACGATGCGGTTTACTTCCTCTTCCAAACCACAGCACCTGCTCTCTGTTTCCTCCCTGCCTGGGCATAGGGCCACACAGACACGGTCCTTCTGGGACTACAGAGTTGACTGTGTGCTAAGGGACAAGAAATGGCCCCTGGGGGAAGCCAGCCTCCAGGAGAAAAACCCACCAGGCACAGGGAACCAGTGAGCACCCAACAGTGCGGCTGTGCCAGGCTGAGCCCCCTCACCCAGGTCTCCTCCTGGGAAAGGATGAAAACAAAGCGAGGTCCCACGCTCCTGCTGTGTGCGGTGCTGTGCGCCGAGAGGCTCTTCACTGCAGCCAAGCCTCTGCCGTAGGAAATGAGATTTCATTGACACAAAGAAATTCCCACTGATGGCATCGAGTGCCACAATATCTCCCCGCAGCTGGGACCCCTCCACCTCCGCACTAAGAGCAGAACGGCTCAGAGCCAGGAGGAGCTCACCTGTAGTTGTACTGGAAGAGCTTCTGGTAGATGGCGTGGGGCAGGGAGAAGCAGGCAGCCAGCAGCCAGATCACAGCGATGCTCAGCGCTCCTTTTGTCAGAGACATCCTTTGCTTGAGTGGGTTCAGAATGACCTGTAACACAGACTGCACAAGGCTCTTGTCTCATGGGAAAGCAAAGTCCTTCCACCAACGCACACAGCAGAGGTCTTTATATATATATAGATAGATTTAATGCTATTTAGAAAATAACAGCCGTGATTAGGGGAAAGTCCTGCATATCAGAGTGACCTAGAAAACGGGAAACGGTTAATTTCTCAATCTGCTCAGAAGTGCTTTCAGATAAACTTTTTCTCTATTTCTTTTCTGTGAGAATCATTTTCTTTAAATTTTGTAAAAATAAGTGGAAAAAAATAACCCAATGCAAATTTCTTCACTTCTGGGTACGTCCTTTCATTCAGTATGAATTATGTAATGAAGTGTGGTTTGTCTGAGCTGAGCCCTCTGCCCGTCTGGAGGCATTAGCTCAGCCTTATAGAAACTTCCTGAGTTAGATGAAAAGATTTTAGGAGCTTATAGAAGCTCAGCATACGAAGAATTCTGTTTTGGTAGATACACAGCAGAGGAGAGTGAGTGCCTGATACAGGGCCTGGTCTACCTTCTCCTTCCTGCTCCTGCAGTACATGGAGTGCTCAGTGCAGCAGGCAGCTGGCGCAGTCTGGCTGCAGGCAGTGATAGGCAATGTCTTCTCACAGCTCCAACATGCACTCCAGCATTCCCACAGCAGCCACTCACTCTGCTGCTCCCCTTCATGCTGCTCCAGCATCAGTCCTGCAGCTACACTTCACTAACTGGGATTGCTTTTTACTGATGCAGAGAGCTGAGAACCGCTGTCACCTCAAAGCACCCTGCAGCTCAGTGGTGCAAACAGCCAGTGCTGTTTGAGAACAGAACAAGCAGGCAACCAGGTCAGAATTTAAGGTCAGGATGTTAGATGTGTTTTATCAGTTTGACTTAGGAAGCTGAAAAGCTTGAAAATATCCCCTGCATAGCTGAACCACTGCTTTGATTTTGGCAGTGGCTCTGCTGCCTTTCAAGGCTCCCAACTGCAAACAAAACCACTCACAGCTATCAGTCATGCCACGCCAGCTTGCTTTAACCACCACAAACAAACATATGGCTCAGCTGGCATCAAAGGGGCTTGGGAGGAGCTGTGCAATAAGGTGTGGGAGAGCAGAGCCTCACCTGGTGCCTGTCCAGGGCGATGGCTGTCAGGGTGAGCGTGGAGACGTGCAGCGAGCAGTACTGCACGAAGCGGCTGACGTGGCACATCGCCCTCCCAAAGATCCAGGTGCTGTTCACAAACCGAACCTGAGGAGAAAACAAAAGCTATCAGCAGCCAAACCCCCAGGGAACACCTTGGGCTGCACCTGAGCCTGCTGCTGCCCTTTGGCTGCTGGGCAGCTCCCCTCAAAATCCCCAAACCAGCAACGTGGGATGTTGAAACACCCTTATATAAGAGCTCATAAGTTAAAATATTGAGTTGAAATGAGTGGTGCTATTGCAGCCCACCCAGCTTATCCATATAAACAACATCTACAAACAGCAGTAATTACTTGTTTATTATACTAATAATTATATTTGGACAAAGTGGCCCATGCCCTGCTCCTGTACCACTCCCTGCACATCTGGAGGGCTTTCACTGAAATCTTCACCCAGCTGCTCACTGTGAAAGACTTGGCTGCTTTTGCCCCAGCTATGACCAGCAGCCACATGGCTTTGAACCGTGGGACTTAAGTTTGACTTTGCAGTCCTGCTGCATGCATGTCAATGGCACTGATACACCCAGACTCCCACTCTGCAGTCCCTGAGCAGCTCTCCTGATCTGTGGCAGTTTGTCAGCACAGCTAGAGATACTTCAGAGCCCTTTAGGAAATAGAGTTCAATAGAGCCAAGGGAGCCCACAGTTTGCTAGATGGTGCTTTACCTGTCTGGCAGAGCCATCCATCCATTAGGCTTGGCTGTGCTGGGTCCACCCCTCAGTTCTAGCACAGCAACCATTGGACTGCGTATTTCTGGGGTGAGTGCCCCTGTCCAGCAGGACCGCCCTGCGTGCCACTTACCAGAGTGAAGGGTGTGTTGAGCAGTGTGATCATGATGTCAGACACGGCCAGGTTGACAATGAACAGGCTGGTGGCCGAGTGCATCCTCTTGTTCTTCAGGACCACATGGCACACCAGCACGTTCCCAAAGAGAGACACGATGATAATCACTGAGTACACCATGATCAGGAGAGCCTTCACAGTTGGTTTCTGGGATTCTGGCTCGTATCGAGCCAGCTCCGCAAACTTCTCCCACTCCACAATGCGGCTGTCTGTCCAGTTGAAGGTGGTCCTGTTGGTTGCTTGGTAGATGGACATGAGTTTAGTCAAGGAATAGTAATGGTCGAACTCCTCAAGATAAGCTGCTATCTGTGCCTGGTGGGATGGAAGCGGCACATGAGGCATGGTGGGTGAACCCAGGTTGTTGCTCAGCAGGGCATCACAGGGCTGCTGACACAGCAGTGGTCCACCAGCCACACCTGCTCAGCTCTCTGGGAAGCTGGTGAAGATGCAGCTGGCACTGTGAGCAATGCCTGTAGGTGCACAGCCTCAAAGGTGCAACGGGCTCCCAGGGAGCAGCACTAGGGAGCATTTACAGCAAAGACCTCTGAACAGGACTGGTTTGGGACTGTGCACTCTCACTCCTTCACATACCAGGAGCTGCAATAGTGGGCTGGAGAGATTAACTCATTGTTACACAGAGCACATGTAGGAATGGGCATTTGTCAGGTTGTTTTTATTCATTCTCATATGAGTGCACTTTTCTTCCAACTTTCAGGGACGGTGTTCTGGTGCTGCTCTCATCCCATACTTCAAAACAGTTGTTTCTTTTCTGCTGAAAGATTAAACAAATCCATTTAGGCTGTCATTTTTGAGAGCACAGGTAGCTGTTGCATACATCTAGCCCCAGCAATTACCCTGAAGTTGTTCGGAACTTGAAAATCACATCAGAATTTAACTTCAGTCTACCTCATACTTTTCAAAAAACAAACAAACAAAAAAAAAACAGAAAACCAGCTATATTCTGTTCAGTTTCATTTCCAGTGAGAAAGCGATCTGTCCAGCAAAGGCAACACTCAGCAGTAAAGAGGAACACAGGTCAGAAAACACCCTCATAGCATATACAAACCAGCACAGTGCATCAGAAAACTCAGCAGGAATAAAAATCACTACTTACTCACCTCTCAACCTTCTTTTCTCATTTTTAGATATTTCTGGTGATTTCAGATTGATCTGTTGTTGTTAGGTGGAACTTAAGAAGCACTCACACCATTACTTCCAGCTATGCAGCACACAGGAGGAGAAAGTTGTTTGGAAAGCATCAGGATTTCAGTAAGAAGATGCTTTGTTTTTGTGCCCCATGGCTGTGTACACAAATAGCGGACCTCATATGGAGGGCAGGATTAAGAAGCAGCACTCTCAGAGCTGTAGAAACTCCCCAAGATGTCAGGAGGCCGCAGTGCGAGCATCCAGAACTGCACCCACTTGGATGGACACCCACCGGGGTGCTGAAGGACCCACACTGAGGACCCTGTACTATCACATTAGGGAGCTGAGCCAGCTGAAAAATCAAATAAGTGTGTTCTCAGCTGCTGACTTGGCCTACCTCATGGCTCATCTCTCCCAAGGGAGGCTCAGGGACAAATGACTGAGGGGAATAGGAGAGCTTAAGGAGATGATGGAGCTGTGACCTGATTTTCCAGCATGGAATTTCTCCTTAGGAATTTCTGTATCAGTCAAACATGGCTGAAGCAATTGTTGGAGCTCAGCACTGGCAGAGCAAAGGTGCAACAGGGACAGCATCCTGGTTTCCTGGGGAGGTGCACGCACTCTGCACCACGGTTTAATGCAATAAGCCTTAAGCTTTATAACTTCAAGTAACCTGAAGGATCAGAGAGGGAAATTCCACCCAGCTCAACCTTTCCCCACCCTTCTGCCCCAGGTGCCCACAGGCAGCCGCAGCACCCACGGCTCCAGCTCAGCCCTTTCTGGCGCTCACCTTCCACCACAAAGAATTTAAAGACACCTCACCGACAACCGTCTGTCAGATGATCTGAACTCTAAACATAAACCAACGCTTCGCGCCCTGAACCGAGCAAACCTCTAGAGAAGAGCACACAGGTCGCCAAGCACGAGTTAAACGCAGTTTCCCAACAACCTCCAAATAACAGCGGGAGAAAAACTCCCCATCACTTACCGGCTGTGCCGCCGCCGGCATCTCCGGCTCGGACTCCCCCCGGCTCGGAGCTCCGCCGGACCCGCACAGCGCGGAGCCGCCGCGCCCCACGCGTGAAGCCCGGGGGCGGCGCCGCGCGGAGCTCCGCGCCCCGCTGCGCTCCTCTGGCTTTAGCGGAGACCGGCGCTCGGAGGCAGAGCCCGACGGCGCGCTCCGTGCCGGGCTGTCGGAGCGGTCGGAGCACGGCGGGGAGCGCGATTCGTCCGCGGGTGTCCGTGAGGTTAATGAGAAAGCAGCGCCGCGACTCGGGGGCTGCTCTCATTTATCGACGTGCCGTCGGTTCTTCGTGGGCAGGTCAGGCAGAGTGAAGTTTCCTACATGGGAGAGCTGTGTGGGAACGCTCCTCTGTGACTTCCTAGCAGAAGAGGAGAGCGGAGGTCGCTCTGAATGTCGCGCCTCCTATTGCTACAGTCAGAAAGATTAACGTGGTGGGAAGGTGATACAGGATTGAAATAGCAAAAGGGACTAACATGGATGGGACAATGTTACAAACGGAAAGTGCTCACCTGTCTCTGAAGACCTCAGCTCACGAGGAAACCCTGCAAGAGGGAATCTCCACCCAGAGATCCTTCCCCAGTGGGAGTCACCCCTTCCATGAGGTCTATGAGAGGTGCAGCCAGGTTCCACCCCTTCCTGTCACACAGCCGAATTGCCTTCACCTGTGCTCCCAGGGCTGACCGGGTCCTTTGCCCAGGCAATCCATCAGTGGTTCAGGCCAGAACTCAACAGTTCCTGTACACCTACTTATTTCCATGGAAACTCCAACAGGTACAAAAGTGCAATAACACTATTTGAGAAAGTTCTCAGTTGCAAAATACTGTTTTTCAACATAATCACCACTGTTAAACTGTGTGTTTTCACCAGCAGTGAACAAGAGCTGCATACCATGCTTATAAACATCTGCACCAGTGGAGGTGACCCACTGTCGCTGCCATCGCTGCTGAAATGCACCACCCGCTCCTCACTGTGCTCACATCCACTATTTGGTCTCCATAAATGCTCAGCAAGATGAATGGCAATTGGTGCCATCTTTTCTGCATAGAAAAATTCAGTGCCACCCATTTGCTCCGTATGTACTTCTATGTCAGACACCATTTTGTCAGACCACCTTTCTGCTGCCATCAGTCACACAGCAATAAAATGTGATGGAATATGGATGGGAAGGTTGAGCTTCTGCTGCCATCTCACCAACGTCCACCTCTGACCTCGTGAGCCAACATTATAATATAGGAGCCATTTCTTTTGTAGCAGCCCTCATGGTCCACAAACATCATTCCCTTATTGTAAAAGCATGAAATAAAGCAGACAGGATGCTCAGTGCATGCAGTGAAATGGTCACATCTCTTTGGATACAGGCTGTTCTCCAGTTCTTGTGAAAAAAAAAAAAAAAAGAACAGGATTCTTTTCTTCTTGTTCTGAGACATTTGGATGATCTCAAAAGTCATCAGCAGGGGCAGCAAAGACACATTGCCCACTGATCCATGTGGGCTGCCCACGCACACACCCCTGATGCAGAGGATGGAAGTCTGATCTCCGCAGATTAATTCCCAGAACAGCAGGTGAAGAAAGTCAGTGCCTACAGCACCTTTCTGACAGGGCAGTGCTGTGAAGGCCGACTGGAGGCTCAGTGGAGATCTCTGTGCATTTCACGGGGATCCGGATCCATCCCAGCTGTGTAGAGCCCCGCGGCGCCCTGCGGGCACGGAGCCCTGCAGCATCCCTGGGGCACACAGCATCTGCATTATGGGGGTAATGCAATTAACAACGATCTCCAACCCTGAAATCTGAAGGTGAGGCTTTTAATGGAATTTCAGCCCTGATAGATTCTTCTTAAATAAGCATTCTTCCCATGCCTGAATCCCTCTTGGCAGATACAGACACAGCCTCACAAGAAACAAAGGTGATTTTGGTCTCAGGCACAGATATTGGAAGATACGTGTTTGAACTGGAGATTGTAGTCATTGTCAATTTCCACCATGTGCAGCTCACACCTTATTAAAAAGAAGAAAGGTTTTGGATTCTGTCCTCCTCGCATCTCCTCTGTGCTGTGGCTCCGTCTGCAGCCACTTTCCCTCTGCACAGGGGAACCCAGCCCATGTCTCCTTCCCAGAGTCAGGTGTTCTGTGTTACCGTATGGTTGGAGTTGGCCACAGCCACATCAACTCTCTCAAAGCACATAAACAGTGATCAACCTTTTCATAATTGCACACTTTTGCAGTTTGGGCACCTGGTGCAGCTGGTGCTGCATCTGCCAGAGGCTTTTGGAGAAACCAGTGAAAATCTTTGCAATAAATAGCAGGGGCACTGCTCTGAAAGGGAATCCCTCCCATCAGAGGGAAAAGCCGTACATGGGATGGATGTTTCCTGGGGTCCAAGTGCTGCCCACCCCAAACCTGTGACAAACCTCCTGTTGCTTTCAGTAGAAGATGGGTGAAGTCTGTATTTACTGTACCTTCTTGCCTGAGGCACGTGAGGACATTCTGCACAACAAGTGATCTTGTAGGCCTGCTTTTTCTTTTTTTTTCCTCTTAAGTAATTTCCATCTGGACTATGAGATTCCTTGCATCTGAAGAGCCATTGCTTTATCCTGTCTATAAACCTGTGTGTGCTTCATGTCTTGTCCAATGTGGTGGTGTTGTCTTTATACTGTCAGCACATTCAGAAATGAGAGCAATGAGTTTAATCAGACCCTCGGCAGGATCTCAGACACGTTTTCTTTCTTCAGATTTATTTACAGGTATGCATTAGAACCTCCAGAAACACTCAGAATGAAGCTCAGTGCAGTCCCATCCCTGCATCCTATCGTCCTCTCACAATAATCCCCACTGACCCTCAGCTGTGTTTGGCTCCTGCATGCAGACAGGTGAGCAGAGATAGAAGGCAGCCTGCTATGCTCCCAAAGGCACAGCCTGAAGCATTTAGCTGAAATCAGGCTGTTTTAACACAACTCACACCAATGAGAAGTGCTGTGCCGTGGCTTCCAGGCTCCCACCCAGCAGATGGTGCAGCAGATCTGGGCACTGCCTGCTGTGTCTGCATGGCAGTTCCCCCACATCCATCCCTCAGCTGTCCAGGTGTGCTGGGAGAGCAGCCTGAGCTGTGGAAGAAAATTGTTTGGGGTTTTCTGTGTTGTTTTCCTTCAGCAAAATGCAAGTTGCCCACGTGTCTGGGGAGGCTTTGCAGCTGAAGATGTTAAAGGCATTCCGTATTTTTCCTTTGGGTGTCTTACTGTTAAATGCCAGAAGGTTATTTTGTCTCCTGAAGGGTTGGGAGCTCTCTGGAGAAATGCAGAGATGATGCACAGATATGAAACCAGAGGCATTGTAACTTTGGAGCCACAAAAAAAGCTCCTTTGCTCTCAGATATTGATATTTATTACCATTATTATGTTTTGAGGTACAGAAGGTGAAGCTGATGCCCTGCAATACCATTTGCCGTGCATGGCACCCACAGGCACTGCTCAGTGTGTGCAGCTGCTCACCTTTCCCTCATGCAATGCCTGTAAAGCCAGCTCGGGTGCACACAGGGCAGCAAGGACTGAATTTATAACTTCTGAACTGCACCAGGCTGCTCCCATCAGCCCCATGCCCTCAG